TGATATACTGATTGAGATTTTTTATGCATAAATGATATCAAGTAAGATAACGTAAATCATTGTTATCTTTTTGATATGAATTTGAGCAAAAGATTGCATTCTAGATATACAAAAAATAATATCACTATGCTAGAATGATGACGCAAACACAAATTTATCATCATTTGAGTGATGACACAAATACAAATTTATACCCACTATAACAAAATGATATCTTTTTTGATATGAATTTGGGCAAATAAATGTGTTCTAGGTATAAATATACTATATAGAGCTTGAATAACTTGAAATATATAAAAAAGACTACCGGGTCACAAAATTGTGCCAGAACTCCCAAAGTGCTCCTACTACTACTTGTATATATCAAATAAGTGCAGCTTTTAAAAATAAAGAAGTCTGTTATATATCTGGATTCTGAAGGTCTTTGTAGTTTCATCGACAGGTCTGTGTCTATCAAAATTTTTTCTATTCACAGTAAGTGCCACTTGCTTTTTCACTTTTGTTCCTAGGCTTCTGGCTTGCATATCAAATATAGAAGAGAGTCCCCTAGAGCAAGATTAACCATTTTGTTGTACCCTAAAAACCACTACTATAGGCCTTTAGAACAGTAAACTAATAGAACTTTGTTGACGGACTAGTCCACCAAAATTTATACTTGAAGTAATAAGTGCAACCTACTTTTTTTACTATTACTCCTGAGGCTTTTGGCTTGTATACTAAACGTAAAAAGGAGTTCCTAGACCCAGTTAACTTTTCTACAAACCATTTCAATAATCTACTTTAACTCTCCAACAGACTTCTTATTTCTTCTTTTAGTTAGAAGTTTGGTCCAAGTAATCATCAGGAAGAGTTGACTATTAACTATTTAAATTAATTCAAAAAATACTAAATTTATTAAACTAAATATAATTTATTTAAATAATATTTTATAATAACTTTATGAATTTATCTAACTATAACTAGTAGTGATTATTACCAGAGTGCTTATATTTTAAAAATATACTAAGTAAACAGAATTGGGTTCTCTAAATAAAAATGTTCAGAACCTCAAAAACCTTATAAAAACTAAGATTGAGTCCTATTAGGCCCTTATAATAGCTCTATATTATATTATATAAAAAAAAATAAATTTCTAATTTCTAACCCTAACTCTAAATATATCTAGGGGTGGTAATGATTACTATAAACTATTTTGATTATATTTCTAACTTTATTATTTTATTTTATTTAAAATATTATATATAAAAAAAAAAAATTTTTAATAATTCTATAAAAAATAAAAAAAAAACTGCAGTATTATTTATATATAAAAAAAATAAAACAAAAAAAAACTTTTACTTATTATTATCTGTATTTTTCTTACAATTATTTGTATCTTTCTTTTTATCTACATTTTTATTTGGATCTTTTTTAGCTTCTTGAACTTCTTCCAAATTTAAATCTACTACTTCAATAATTTTTAAAATTTTAAATTTAAGTATTAAAATTACAATCTTTTGCATTATTGTAATAAATTGCTAAATTAATAAATTGTTATATTTACATATTATTCTGGGTTAGGATCTTGCAACTTAGAGATCTTGGCACCTAACTCTTCATGAGTAGGTTTTGGATCAAGTCCTAGTAGATACGTTTATCTATAAATATTTAAACATACTCATATATGAGAAGTTTAAGTGAATACAGATTCGAAATATGAATTTTCAGAAAGAGGTCTATTTGTAAAAAGATAGTGCTATATGTAATAGTTGATGTTATAAAAGGTTCTACTACACAGTATTCAGATAATGTGTACTAGGTTGTAATATAGATCACTAATCAAATTTCAAAATTTAGTATAACATTACATAATTAGGAAGATTCAAAACAATTATTCGTTCTGTTAAAAATTGCCCAGAGCTCAAAAATTAGTATAAGAAACTATCTTTGGTGTTCTAGCAAAAAGTTTTTGTTAAGCAATTTTACTTTATAAAACACTCACTAATCTTAACACAAACTCTAACCTTAACCCTAAAGTTAACGAATTTTAAAAATTTTGTCAGAAATATTGGTATTTATATGCGTTTACTAATCCAACTCAATTTCCACAAGCAATATAAGAACACTATTATCGTCTACTAGTCTTTGTTCACACCCAGGATTAATGCCAGTTTGCAAAGTCATTAATTGCTGGGCTTTACTCTGTTGTACCTTATATATTACAAACTGGTATACATTATCTAAATACTACTACACGAAGGTTGTATATATAAATTCTCACTTAGCATAAGTAGTATCAACAACTCTACGGTGGCATTGGGATTTTGTTTGAGAGGATAACTAGGCAGTAGCATCAGCAAAAATATATATGCGTAAACTTTCGTAAGTTTTTACGGTGCGTATAAAATTTAGCGTAAAACTACGTAAATCTTACGGTGCGTAAGAAAATCGTAAATTTACGTAAAAATTTTACATTGGTTTACGTAAATCTTACGCACCGTAAAAACTTACGAAAAGTTACGGAAGTATATAAAAATTTATAAATCCTAAA